ATGAGACAGTGAGGTGCAGTGAGGTCTGGCTGGGTAACTCGTGCAAACCAGCAGCTCTGGGCCCCACTGGCTGCTTCTCCCACAGCTGCTTTTGTGGTACTGCAGGTAGATGTGCCACCCTTATTCTCCACCTGGCTCAGCTCCAAGCCTGTCAGATAGAAACAGTCTGTTCTGGGGCAGGGGGATGAGCTGGGGTTTCTGGAGGCTGAGATCTCTTCTGCTGTGCTTTTCCCCTATTAACTCTAGGAGAGCATCTGCCACAAGCCAGCAGCCTGCTCCAAAGTGGTTGCAAAGGGAAACCAGTGTGCATCAAATCCCTACAGTGGTAGTTCATAAATGGATTTATCAGCTCAGTGTGTCTGACTGTGAAGGCTACAGGGGCTGAGGACAGCTCATGGCAGGACCTTTTGGCAAAAGCTTTAAATAATGTTAGCCACTGATTTTGTGTCTCTGCTGATTGCTGTTAGTGGGCATTTGAAAAGTTAGTGTGTAGGAATGAGAAATGAAGTAATTTAGGCAGAGACAGCACTGCCTGTTGTCCTCTTGCACTGTCTGTCACATCTCTGACAGCTGAGGCTGCTGTCAGCTCTTGAGAGCTGAAACCATGCTGGGCTCTCGGGGGACATGCACACACAAGATGGGATTTGGTCAACAGTATTTGGGATGTTTTTCATCTTGCTGATCACACAGGAGGTGAACACAAACTGAGCTAGATGATAAAGCATTAAAAATATGTTTTTTACTTGTTTCTTGGGAATATAGGTTATTTTACATGTTTTTATTTTTTTTTTATGCAGACCACCACCATGGACAAACACAACCATCAAGTGTCAAATATCTACACTCCTGATAAAGTCCCTCTCAGGTGGCCTGTTGAAACAGAACCTTCTGCTCCTTCCCCTTGGCACAAAGGTGGGTGGAAGTGGGCAGCACCACACCAAACCCCTGTATGAGAAAGGAAGGGTAACCAGAGAAACTGCACTATGCTGTTTTCTCGTCCTCATTTCTGCATCCCCTTCCTCAAGACCTTTACCACAAACCTTAATAGAAACTATAGAAAAACAGGTTGTGTAGGACCTCAAGCAACTTAATCTATGCTTGTGCTGGAGGGCAGGATCACCTTTACCCATCTCCTGACAGCTTGATCTTAAAGCCTCTGCTGCTGGACAGTCACAGCCTCCCCGAGGTCCCTGCCCCTCCTTTCATTGACCAGGAGGGTGCTTTTCTAGGAGGATCCACACCTTCCTTTTGGTGGCCAGCACTGCACACAGGAATATTTTGGTGCAATTAACAGTAACCTGCAGGACTGTGGTGTCCAATGGGAGCCACAGATGAAAGATGCAGCCTTGGATGGACACACCAGTGCAAAAGGATGAAAGCACAGCCTGCAAGGGAAAAGCCCAGGATTGGCCTTAGTGGATTGGAGGGAAGAATGTGAAATACTCTTAACACTCAGGGTGGGTGGAAGGCCCCTGAGCCTCCAGGAGCTGCCAGCACACAACAGCACAGCTGTTGTAGCATATTGTTGATCTCTTCAAATATGAATCCTAGTCACAAAGCAGGGGATAGAAATAACCCAAAGTTTGGTTGTTTCAGCATTTTTATTAGACAGTGCTCCACTCAGCAGTTGTACACACGGCCCTGATGCTCCCCTGATCAGTGTACAAACCCTGGGACATGACACTCTCATGCCACCATGACCCAGGCTGCACAAACCATCTCCTTTTACAGAAGTGGTGCCCAGGAGAAACCCAAGCTGAGAACACTACCATCCCACCAGCCAAGCTGAAAGGTGACTTCAAGCACTGCTGGATTAGCAACTCCTCTGTGCTTCCCAGTCACCCCCCTGTGCTGCTTAGGTGCTGAGAATGACAGGGGATGCCTGCTGCTGTGTCCACATGAATCTGAGGCTTCTGACAGGAAAGCCCACCCTCAAGGAGATGAGCTTTTCTGCACTCCAGGCTGTCTTTGATGGACTTTCAGAAACCTGTGAGGGCAGCAGGAGTGTGAGCTTTGAGGAAACAAGTCAGCCTTCCAGAGCTGGTTTTTACTCCTTGCCTACCCAGGCAGTTCTCGAGGGGCTCTCTCTGCCCCTGGGGCTCAGCTGCCCTGCCTTCAGGCACATGTGAGTGTGACTGTGCCAGGTTTGGCTGTCCTGCTTTGCCATTGCTGGTCCAGTAGAGTGGCTGTGCTGCCCTGCTATTTCTCCCCTGCCCTGCTGGGATTTGAGGCACCCAGCAGCTCAGCCCTTGAAAGATCAAAACCCATGGCCACACAAAGCTGTGTGGCTACATCTGTAAACTTCCCTGAGCTCAGTGTTTAGCTCATGCTCAGTGCTAAGAAAGTCGTTTACAGAGTCAGGTCCCAAATTTCTGTGAATTGGTGCAGCATCAGCTAAGGATGGAAAAGCAGATTTACTCCCTGCAAGTACCTGATCTGCCTGACACATCAAAGCCAGTTAACCTAGTGCAGATTTTCCAGTTGGGTAGATGAGTGGTTGCAAATCAAACTACAACAAGCAGTAGCAAGGCAAACAAGTGACTCAAAATATCCAGGTTATAAAAGAAAACATATAAATAACATCTATACAGCTAATAGGCTAAACATTGTCAGAACTTAGTGGCATACAGTTCTTTTCCCTTGTTGCTGCTGGTGGGCACCTGGCGCCACCTAAGACACAAATTTAAATAAAGACTGCAAAATAAAGTCTCAAAGCTAACAAGAAGAGACCACAAAAGCAAGCATGCTTAGCTCACTTTTGGACTGGAGTTTGCCATTGGATGACCAATGGACTAGCAAGGTTTAACGTAGATGGCAGTGCATTACTTGTCTGTCACTGGAACAAATGCACAGAAGAGCTATACATAGCCTTTGCCTTTAGGGCAGAGAGGTGCAAACTCAGGACAAGCCTTTAGCATGTCAGTTCCAGCTCTGCCAGCTGCAATAAGATATTTAAAATACATATAAGACTCCACAGTCCATCACATTTGCTTCACATGGCATAGCCCAGATACTGAACCATCTGCTCTCGGGGTGCTCAGAAAGAAAACATTTGAAAACAACTTCCAGGGCAATAGTCTCAGTTTTCCATCTGTTCTCCAAAGGCAGCTAAATTCCTGCAACTATTTGTTATCACAAAAAGAAGTTAAATAGCCCAGGTTACATTCAATAGAAAACTTCTTCCCAGGAAATGGGATACAGGAAATAGCAAAACTCTGTAGCCAACAAAATACTGTACAGTTCTCCCTGCTCCCACCTGCAGCCCTGAGTTTTTAAGCGACACCAGCAAAATCTGCATTCTATTTTTTAAACTAAACAATGTAATGAGACAACTAGAAATGTTAGAGAACTCAGCATGCCCTCAGGAGGATGGATTTATGTTCAGTTAGGCGAACAATGACGAGTCTGGAAAAAGGAGAAAGCAGCCTTGAACTGCATTTCCAAGTGCAGGAGGATACAGGGCAGCAAACTGCCAAGCAGGATCCAGATTTAGAGTTCAAATGCAGGGAACTTGGCCTTGGTAGGCACCAGCAGGTCAGCAAGAAAGTAAATCGTTCCAGCCATTCCTGGGGATGAAAAAAAGACACTGTGCTTCAGAGAAATTCCCTTTGGGCACTGCTTTTCTCAGTTATCTAGGGAGTGAATGAGTTATGAAGACAGAAGAAAAGGTTCTAAATAATTTTCAACCCCAGGTTTCTCAAGCAACTTGGGTACTTCCTAGTGGGAAGTACTAGTGGGGAAAAGCATTTTGAAGTTAATCAAATGCTGAAAAGCAACACCTAGCACCTAGCAAAATGCTCCCTCCCTTCTGCTTTACTGATCCACAAGTTCAACGCTGGGCAGCTTTGTCAAACTCTGGTCCTTGTCACACTGCTGCCCAAGGTCCTCACTGATGGAACTTTGCTGTCCCTTGGCCTGCAGAAGCTTGGCGAGGTTTAGGTTAGCTGGGGGGCTGGTTCCTTCAGCAAATACTCACTGATGGCAGATTTGGGGGGAGCTGTTAGCAGGAGGCACAAAGCGCCATAGGAGCCAACAAGGCCCATTTGTTCCTTACCTTTAGAATCAAACTGGAACACTCATGAAGGATTTCAATCCTTAAAAATGTCCAGTCTCTTGACTGTCTGAGAAGCCAAGCTACAAATAACCAAAAGGAGGCCTGTAGCCATGAAAGAATTTTCCTTGAGATCTGTATGCAAAATCTGTGTGAGAGGCCTAAGAGGACAAGATGCTCCAGCTAAGACTGTTCTACAGGGAGACTCCTTCTGGGAAAGGGTAGAAAAACCCACTGGGTACAATTTCCTTTCCATCCTCTACATTGAGTTTTGCAAAGACTCCAGTGGAGCATGTATTCAATTTTCCTTGGTGCTGGAACAGCTTAGATCCAGGAGCAAAACACAAGGCTAGAGCCTGAGATTACCTTCAAAGAGAGAGAACGGCGTGTCTGGAGTCCGGCACCCATGCTGCCCATAGCTTAAACACCACTCTGCAAACTGAGAAAAAAAATACAAAAAGGGCTGAAATTTGGATAAAGGCAAGTCTTGAAAAGAAAATACCATCCCTTTCCTCACATTACTCCTTGCAGAACAAGGCTTCTGAGAGAAATCCCTTCTGTACAGGGTGTCAGACAGTGACAGCACTGTTGAAGGACTCCTCTGGTGCAGCTGGTCAGATCTAGCTGCATGTCTGCCCCACGAGAAATTTGGTATCAAAGGCAAAGACATTGATGCAGAAGGCAGAAGTGAATAAGCCCCTCTACTGCCTCACACACCCCCTTACCTTGCAGGCCCTGTAGAGGTATTTCATGTTCTGGGTGAGGTTGTACAGTGCCAGGAAGGCGTAAGCATTGCCAGCTGTGCCATGGCACAGCCCGTAGCCTTTCTTCAGTAACCCGTGCTGCCAGATCACTTCTGCACACTGCAGGGCATCATTCAGGTACTGCTGCTCCCCAAAGACCTGTAGAGACAGGAAACAGTTGTCCTTGCTGAGGCAGTGTCCTCCAAACAAAGAGCATCCCTGTGGGATGCAGAGGCTTGGGTGTCTTGCTGAAGTGACTTTGCTGCTTACTTTTTAAGGAAGATATTTTTGATACCATGAGTGAGGATGTAAGACCACTACTTCAAACAGAGCTAGCTGTCACCATCCATCACCTGCAACAGGGCAGCCCACACACCTGATGGATATTTTCAGAAATACATTTTCAAAAGACTAATTTCAGTCAGTGGTTCCTGTGGGGTGATTGTACTGTAACAACCCATTCTACTTCCAGGCAAGTTTCACATTTAGGGGTTTCAAAAGGGTCTCTGCAAGGTTTCTGGTACCTTGTATGCCTGGATAAGCATGTAGATTACACCTGGTGCTCCATGGCACCAGTGGACGAGCAGGTCTCTGGTGTCACCGATACATGGAGGGTAATTCCCAGATGGGAACTTGAGCTGGCACACATAGTCCACGCTGGGCTTGACTGTGTTGTGCAGCTTTACTTGGCTCACTCCAAAGCCAGGCTAAGAGAGAGAAAACATTTAAATCAGGGAGGATTACCATTCTGTCTGTCCCTAATAGACCCAAGGTCTGCCCAAATGGTAGAAACTAAGGCTACATTCCCTCTTGCTCCTTGTAAATTAAATCATTTCTTTGGTTTAGGCTTTCACACTTCCCAATTACCCACTCAGTCCCCAGCTGCTCTGCCTTTTGGCAGGGATTTATTTCCAGTCCTACCCTTGCATCCCAGAAACAAAGACTGTTCCTAGCATGTCACCTGGTCCTCTAAGCAAGAGAGCTTGCTGCTGCTTTCCCTAAAGATGAGGACAATAACTTCAGGTACCCAGAGCTGAAGTAAGGAGCTAACAGTCTAAACTCAGTATTAAGGATGATTCCTATCACCTAGAGCATGTCAGCCCTTAGCTGCTGGGCCAGCCCATCTGGCAGGCTGCAGTTCTGTATCTTCACAGATGTTGCTGGGTAATTTCCAGAGGCTGACTTCACTGCTGACCTCAGATGGAAGCAAGGGAGTGGCTTCAGTGTCCTCTTCCAATGACACTGCCCCACATGAAATCTGTGCAGTTCTAATTTCTCATGGCAGACTGCAATGAGCACTCTCATCTAAGGTTCACATTGTTCCCAGGTTGGTAACTGGAAAATTAAAAATCAATACTTGTGCTGTAAAACCATTAGAGATAAAACGTCTCCTCTCCATATTTCACTTGCTTGCTTCTCCCAAGGCTTTTTGTGCACCGTGCTTGGCTGATCCAGGCTCCTTGTACTTCATATACCAGACAAGCATAAAGCCTATGCAGTATTTTATGGGAGACTCAAAATTATTTAAAACAACCACCTGGGAACAAGCTCAGGGACTTAATACAAATTTAGGTTCACAGCACATAGCTGTCTCCCCTGCTCCTAGCTAGCTATTCTGTGCTCCTGGGCAATAACTACCTTGCACCTCCCTCTTGCCAAATATTCTACTTAAAAACCACCAACCACTTCTTCCTCTCTGAGCAACAGAAGAGTTATATTCACAGAACTTCTACTGATCCTGGATATGGGTTTTGACTTTGACAGTCCTGAAGGAAAGCTCAAATGCTTGAAACCTGGTGGCTTCCATCTCCACCTGCTCTGAGAGTTAATAAAAGATTACAGACTATTTCTAGACCAAAATAATTTGTGTTGCTCATGGGTGCTCCTGATGCTTTAAAAATTCAATGTTATTTATTGCTGTTATTTTTCTGAGTGCTAAAGCACTGTAAATATATGCACGAAGGGACTCACATAGTGGAATTATCACTCTCATTTTTTTCAGAGCCAGAATAGGGAATATTGACAGAGCCCCAGTGAGTTGTGCAAAATAGTGAGAAACATCAAAGCAAAGGGGTACCACATCTCCCAGCCTCTTGTCTTGCTCTGCCTGCTTCAGGCACTACAGAACTCAGTTCCTTTATCTAAGTCCCACCACTTTCACATTTAGAAACATGTTCTGCTTTGGATACAAAGGCATTTCCCACTTCCCTATTATGAGCACAATTTCTTTCACCATGCTTTTCTCTCAGAGATTCTCACTCTAATGATCTGACACTGCTCCAAGTAACCACCTCAGAAAATGCAGGAAGCCAGCAGATACCAAAAAATGTGAGAAGCAATGAACATGAGGAGGAAACTCAGACCCAGCTGAGCTACAGGCCTCCATTATGTGACACTGCTGGTTAATGCAGGTCACGTTTCTCTACAGATCTCCAAGGTTGGAGATTCAATCTCAGATTTGAAGAAAACCTTTACAATTGGAAATGCATGATGAACACATGGGTAAGTCGATCAGACAAGGTGTATTTCCCAGTCTGACATTACCAAGAGCCAATTCAAATGCTGTTCCTTGTTGAAAGAAATGTGAAACAGCTGCTAAGGGCCCCTCATGTCTCTTACCTGCATGAGATAATAGTAAATCCCAGCCAAACCATGGGCTGCTCCTACATAGTACTCCTGGTACCACTCAAACATCAGTGGGCTCTTTGCTGTGAAGTTCCTCTTTTTGGCTAAGCTCTCCCCTGAGGCTACAACTGCTTCACAGACCTGTGAAGGGATGGGAACAAATGTGGGTGAGGGAAATGTTGCTGTCTTGGACACAGTCAGTATTCTGACACAGAACAAGATTTGTTTTTCTGCCCAAGCAGAGGGTGGAATGAAATGTATGCCAGCCCAGTACTGCCTATGGATTTACATGGACAGTGGGAGACATGTGCTGCTTTGTCCCTTTCAAGGAAAAGCAGGTAGACCATGATGTGGTTTCTCCCTTATTGCCAGAGTTCTTCACATCTGGCATTGATTTTTATCTGCCCCAAGCTGAGTTGCACGGGAAGAGACAGATAACAAATCAGCAAAAGGCACAGTACCTGCTGAATGTGACTTTGAGGGATCTTTTCCTCTCCGAAGTGCTTATTCACAAAGAGCAGTGCAGAGAGATAACCCATGCGCCCATAGAGGAGCTCATCTGGCACTCGTGGGTCAGCCTTGTGCAGGTGGAGCAAACTACAATGAAAATTCACATGGGGAGAGAGATGAGAGCACACTCAAAGCCATAGAAACAAGCATGAAAACTGGAGCTCTGAACCATGGTTTGTTCCTTCATGCTGCCTTGTGCCCCAGGAGATGTCAGGCCAGGCTCTGGCTCTTAGCCTTCCAGCTGCAATCACCTTTCCCTTCTGCCTTTTGTTGGCTGATTGCTTCAGTCTGCTCTGCTCTTCACACTGCACTCATACTACGTGCTTGGGTTTTCGAGCATCAGCTTGGAAAGCTGCTTGAGGGGGAAATCTGGGCTAAAAGAAATGGTCAGCATAAAGCTGCTGACTGCTCAGGAAATGCTGCCCACCACCTCCTTGTGATGTTATTGGCAAGGCAGACACTCTCCCAAAAATCACTACTTTCAAATTAAATTGCTATCCTTTTAATTTGGCTGCTTAAGGAATACTAGAAAGTCAAACTAGTGCTAATGGTATGTGGAAAAATCTCACCCCTAATGCTCAAAAGTCCTGATAGAAAAGCCCCTTCCTCTCCATGCCTGCAAATAGCCTGGGCTATGCTGTCAGGTGAGAAAGAGGTGTCTCCATGAGCTAAAAATCTACGTGAGAGGTGGAGCTACATATTGTTTAACATAAAGCTGCCAGCCATGGCACAAGGAAGAAATATTCTCTAGGGAGAACTGAGCAGCAGTGAGGACAGCTTAGCAAAGTGGGAGTGCTGTGGCTGTCTGAGGACAGCTTGCCTGGCATAGTGCAGAGTGAGGTCTGCTGCAGTCAAGTATTTTCTTTGCCACTCTTTTATTATGATATTGCAAAGCTGGTGATACTCCTGTAGTGCTAAGAGGGACTGACAGCACTTCACACTGGTGCTTTGTAGCCCAATTCACTCTTGATGCAATTTTTCCTTTGTTTTACCTCTCATCACACTTCCAGAAAGACTGGATGCCCTTCCCTGTCAGGGCAGCAGTGTGATTCGATTTGGCTTTATTTTTCTGTTCACCTGTAAGACAGCAATCTGAAAAGTGCCATCACTTTTAAAATATCAGCATAAGAGGCTTTAAGGCTGTTCCCTGACTGTTTGCTGATGTGAAAGCAGCCAGGAAAAGCTTTGTGTGTGCTGAGCTTTCCTGTCACAGCAGTGTGAAGAACAGAAAAGGTGCCTGGGCAGCCTTTGCTCCCTGGGCTCCACGGACTTTGCAACAACGTGTTGCAAAGTAAAGAAGGAACCAAATGCCTCGAGTAGAGAGGATGCTGGGCTGTAACTTCTCATGGCAGGAAACTTTTTTCCTGTGACATTGGACTCAAAGTGAGCAGGGATTTTGAAGGAGAAAGGAGGGAGCAGGGTCTCAAGGTGGATGGGCTCTTGTACCACTTGACATGTGGACTGGCCCATGGGAGAGGTTTCTTTCCCACAGATTAAAGCCCAGAGACAGACTTCACACCCATGGGTTATTCTCTCAGCTGCTGGAGTTGAAAGCAAAGGCCTGCTGCCTCCTCATGGCACCTGTCACAAAGTCAAAGAAAGGCAGATGAAGAGAGTTTCCAAGGAGGTGTCTGCACAGACAGACTCTGCCTGGCAGCAGGCTGGCCAGAAGAGAAGCTGGCTGGTGATGTTGTTCAGCTCTGAGATGTCAGGAAATGTCAGGTGAAATAGAAGGAATGGATGGGTGTATGAATTGTAATACTAGCAGTAGGGATTTTATCAGTTCTGGATGTGGTATCTTCTTTTCATGGGGAAATCTGGAGCAACTGGACCCACTGTTCTTGTCCTCTGTGCATTAGTGCTTTACCTCTAACTGCTTTTCAAGCAGGATCATCAAGGGAAGAAGCCTGCCAGGAGTTTCTGCTCTTTTGGAACTGTGCTCATGCATTCAAAAAGAGATGCTTGGGATGCTGCTGGACTGATTGCATGCAGAATGCATTTCTCAGGTGTGTGGGGTAAACTGTGGTCTCTGAAAGGAGGAGCCACTCCTATTCACATTATCAGCCTATTACTTCAACTGTCAACAATCAGCAGTTTCTGGACAGAGGGAAACCAAGGCAGCTGTAGAGCAAAATGGGATTTTTGTACACCATTGGCTCTGAAAGCAAAGCTTTGACCTTCTCAATTGGTGGGAGGTGACAGGGAAAAGAGGACTTGTAGAACATGGCTCAGATTTTCACAGGCTCTTAGAAAATAGGCTGCCCTGAAATATTAGTCTCTCTAGAGCATAAAAACACATTTTTTGGTCATGAACTCATTTAGGAAAAAGCAAGCTTCTGTCTCTTCCACTGCAGGTAAAACCTGGCTGATGGATTCTCTCCACTGGCTCTGTAAAGATGAGGTGCTTTAAAAGACAGGGGGCAAAATGCAGAGAGGCCCTTCTTCTCCACAGCTCTGATAAAAGTGCTCTTTCTATGCACTTGCACTGCACAGCTTAGCAACTGCTCTGTAACTAAACAGCATACTCAAAAACCATTTAAGACTTTTGATTAAGGGAACTACTTCTTAAATAAATACTCTATTTTAAAGGAGCACAGTCAGGCTAACTGCTCTGGGAATTGGTGGCAGAGTAAGGACAGTGTAACTGTTCATTTGAGAAAGTCACATATTTCTGTTTTCCTCCTTGCAGATGTATGAAGAAACCAATTTCCAGCGTTCTAACTTTATGATACCATTAGATGGCAGTGCAAAATAAATCATGAGATTCCATTCTGCCACCAAAGTATAGGCAGAAGAAGAGGGGTATGGGAAGGGGAGACCTCAGCAAGTAAACATGAATTAGGGATTGTTTTTACAACCTAGGACTTAGGCACTGACCACAGCTGACCAGTTCTGTTTGAAGGATTTATTCCCCTTTTTTAAGCAAATATGTTAATCACAGCTAGATTTGCCACTCTGTCAAAGCAAAATCTAACCACAAATTATTATCAGAATAAAGAAAGAGTTCTGTTCTCAGACTGATTGTACCCACATAAACCAGAAGCTATTCTTAGTTAAGGGAGTGGGAACTTGATGCCCAAACCATCCAGACCCCTCTGATTCCCACCTGTGGCATTTTTAAATTGCTATTATGCATGACTTGCTGATGGCTGATTAAGGGCAGTCGTGTTGGAAGCATCAGGAGTTTTGTCTTTATTTATGCTGATCACACATGAATGGAAACTCTGCAGGGCTGTTTCTCACCTTCTTAATAACCACCTCCCTTAACTGAGAAATGCTTGCAACTTAACTATGCTTGCTCCTTAACTATTCTTCTTCCTCTGCCACATGCTGACCTAGTCTTGTTTGTCCTTTTCTTAAGTATCCAACAAAAATACACGTGAAAACAGTCGAGGAAAGGGAGAAAATAGAAATAAATGAATCATAACCAGCTGCATTCTGCAGTTGAAAGGGATGCTGTCAATCTTAGGTTTAAGTCAAAGACAACTAATAAAGAGCAAGTGGAATCAAGTACCGAAATTAAATCTAATAATCTTACATTTTTCCTTTTCATCAAAATGACTGTAAAGCTAAATTAAAATCTTCTCAAAAACCACCAAACCCTACTTTCTGGGTTTTTTTTTTTGTTTTTAATTTTGGCACTTTTTTCTTCCTGTGTTTATCAAAATTATTTTTAAGATGGCAATACAAACTGAACAATATCTTTGCTCCCCAGCCTGCAGGCTGCCACGCAAACGTGTTTGTCCTTAAACCACCTCTTTTGCCAGGGCAGGAAAAGTTTGTGCTGCCTCGCCAAGTTACTGCATTATTTCTCACACAAGACTGCAACAAAATGAATTCACATTTGTCAGAGATTGCCTCAATACAATCCCAGACCAGCTCTGTGAGGAAGAGGAAGGTGAGGTCAAAGACATAACCGAGTATTTTACCGGATGATGCAGTCCTCTGCCTGCTTCTGGTTCTGCAGCTTGTGGTAGATGACAGCAGCCACTGCCAGGGGCCCGGCATCACCACACAGGAACGTGATGGATCGCCTGGTCATGCACCTCAGGCTCTTCTTCACATACTCATGGGCCACCTGAAGGTAGGCTGGGTCTCCATACACATCATACAGGTGCAAATACAGCAAAGCAATGCCTGCACAAGGAACACAAAGGTTGCATCCACTAGAAATGTTTGCTCTGTTACTTCAATGAACCTAAAAGTCTGGCCCTCGTCTAGGGCACAAGCCTTACAGAAAGGCTTCTCAGGGACATAACCTACAGCTTCCTTTCCTGCTTTGTCATCTCCTTGTAACTTGATGCTGCTTGTGAGTGGATGGCAGGTCAAGACAACAGCAGGGTCTGACTCAGGAAGGCCTGGAGAACAGCACAGAATTGCATACAATTTTATATACAATTACATACAGTTTTAGTAGCAAGGAGCAAAAGATGAGACCTAGACAAACCCACCTAAATCCATACACTGTATCTGTGACTTTTGCTCAACAAAGGGGAAAAAACCATATTTTTCGGGCAGATGGTACTTGTGACACAGCAGAACTGAGCTGTCACCCTCTCTGTTTTTTCCCGTGCTTAGGGGGTAAGGGGTTGGGTCACTTAGCTTGGATTGGATTTTTTTAAAAAGTGACACACCATCAGCACTGAGAAACAACACCCTTAAGCCATCCAGACATCCTACTTGACTCTCCTTTTTTATTTCCTTCTCTTATTCTTTTTAAATTCCTTTCCACTGGGAAGCACCAACAAGGTTGTTACAGTTCCCTGGACATCATCTCCTGCTGCTGAGCAAGTCCCAAGCCTCACAGCAAGGACTGGTACATCCTAGAGAAAAGGGACTGCCCAATTCTCCTCTGCAGCACATCACTCGTGAGATCAGCCCTTGTCTGAAACACCAACAGCTGCCTGGAATACTAGAAAAGGCTGCATGGTCCTCACTACAGGTTTCCAATTGACTGGCCAGCTACAAAACCAATTCTGCTACTGAGCAGTCACATCAATTGCTGTCCTTTGCCTCTGTCTGCCTTGTCTTCAGACAGCTCTTGAAGCTTTTAGTAGGTAAATGAGGAGTTCTCAGTAAGTGTGTGCCTGACAGGTCTGTCACACTTGAACCACCCTTCTGATCTAGGAGCCATCCTCAAACCTGCACTTAAGAAAGCTACTGGCCTACATCACTTTGAGAAGAGCTTGTTTCTCCCCTTAACAATAACCATTTCTAAGAAGACTCAGGTCCTGCATTAAGCCTAAATTAATAGAGCCAATCTCTGCAGATTTTGATGAGTTAAGGTCAAGGGGGCAAGCATGCTGCAAAATTACAGTCCAAGGTACTGAGGACAATTTCAAACTTGGATAATTTTCTCATTTTGCATGGGTAATCTCCAAAGCTTCATGTTACAGACAATTCAATTCCACATGAACATTATGTATAAAATTTCCATTTCCTGCTCAAGCTAATAACCTTGTCCTCTCCCTAAGCAATTCAGTGCTAGCAGTTCTAGAGAGAGCTCAGCTGTACAGTGCCATCACTCAAGTCTATAAGGATGTGGATATGAAGCCCTTCTTTAAAGGGGAACCCTCCTTTTCTGGCTAGAAAATGTCAAGTGACTCTCCATGATTTTTTTTAGTACATAGCACATCTTCTAGACTTTTATTAGCCTTATAACTGTCTGAGCACAAATTGCACTCTTGACTTCTCTGCTTTAATATACAACTTTTAGCTTTGTAAGTAGTTTCTATTCCCACTGCCATAGTACCACCCTAATTATGCACATGAGTACCCTGCCAAGACCACTGCAAGGACTGAACTCTTAGAAAGCAAATCTCAGCAGTGTTTTCCTTTGATTTCTTTGCCTCTCCTCTTTTAAAACATTTCTTACCTCCACTCCTCCCAGGCTGAAGCCGCTTTGGAAAGACTCCTAAAAACCACTGACCTGTACTAATGGGTGAAGTTGCTTTCCCAAAACATTCACTTTTCCTTTTTATTTAAAACCAAAAGGACTTATAAACTGCATCTAAAGCCAGTTTTCTTAATTCATTCCTGTTGTCACTTGACACTGGCCAGCAGCGTGTCCATCTTCAGAGCCATCACAGATTGGCTCTGTCAAACATGGTGGAAGCTTCCAGCACCTTCTCACAGAAGCCACCCCTGTGGCCCTCCCCTGCTACCAAAAAATCAGGCCATGACAAATCAACACAATTCCTCAAGGAATTCCCTACTCCCAAAGGGACCAGAAGGGTGCAGGCAGTGCTGCCTTCATCTTGCTGGTCACTCTGCTGCCATCTGTGAGCCCCAGAGGGAGGGAGCAGGCACAAGCACGAAGAGGCAACGTTGGCAGGTGTATGTAGAGGGATACAAAACACAGTCACTGGGGTGGGGATATCCTGGATTAACCTGTGTGCCAAGATGCAGGCAGAGTATTTCAGAGGCAGTGCAGGTTAGAGACAAGAGTATCCACATGGTGACCTTGGTTCAGTTAAGGCAGTGTTGTTCTGCAGAAGCTCTTCCACAGCTCTGCCTCACTCCCTCTCCAATATCCTCCTCACCCCAGCTGACTGGGTAGCTTTGTGACTGACTGGATGTTTGTTTGGCATGCTTTAAGTGGTGTGCAAACACGGCATTACCAGACACATGGAGCCAGGTAGGCTGTGGATCTGCTCCATTTCTGTGTGCCCTAGAAGGCTGGTGTTCAGTGTCCCAGTTGGAAATGTGACCTAATTTTGTGACCTCTGGTTGTTTCCAAGCAGAACTGCCATACAGTGCCTGCCTGTGGCCTGCTACTGCCAAAGATGTCTGGGCTTTGTTCTGCTGACTGTTTACTACTGGACCTTCTGCTCTGCAGTTTCTCAGATGTCCAAGTTTTTTGCTTCCTGCCCCTGCTGCAGATCCAAATGAGATGGGGAATGCATCAGAGAGTCCTTGATGGTACAGGGCTGCACTAAACACTTGCTACTGACAGACCAACAGGGCTCTGATGACTGAAATGGCCACCTCCAGCTTGCAGAAAGCCAATACACTGCAGTTGAGTGTTGACACCCAAGATGCTTGCTCACTGCAGGGAATCAGGAGGCCAAAGTCAATTCTGCATGTCTCACAATGCCTGTCAGTGAACACCTTCAGAAGGACAGTAAACAGCACCTCTCTCCTCTCACCTTCCTGTACAGTATGTGCAGAGGGCTACTTTGCATTAGGGATTTGAGTGGGGCAGTTGAGTACATGCTGTACATAGTAGAAATGGAATTGTTTGCACCAGCCAGCTTGTGCTGATGCCCTAACTTCAGCAACCATTGCTTTCAACAGAGCAGGCATTGCTGGAAATACCAGGAAAGGTCTTGCTTGTGAGCTAAAGCTCTGTAGCAGGCAGAAAGTGCACCTCATCCATATGACCATTCTGTTGATCCAAGAGAAGCTGTGCCTCTCCTTCTCTGCAAGTTTAGACTTGCTCTTTTTTTTTGGAATGCTAGCAGTTTGCTTTGCAAGCAAATTATGCCATTAGACTGTTCTGAACATGCCTCCTTGCCCAGCAGGAGCTGAGCTGTGCTTCTTCAACCAAGGAAAGGAGGTTGCCTCAAGAGGATATTTTGTTCCAAACCGACCATCTAGAGGTATCAAGATCTCAGAGCTGTTGCACTGACCCAGGGCAGTCAGCCAGCCAGCAGCCTCAAAACAGGATGTCAAACATTGAGGGAAGAAGCAGAAACCTATCTCTGCACTGTGATGAAGGCTGATGGTTTCTAGTGAGAGAGATGATGCTATTCTTTAAAGTCAGGCATGGGGTAAAAGAGCACGGATGGCCCAGCTTTATTGCCCAGCTCAAAGGATAATTAGCATCTTTCCTGGTGCAGACACATGGGATGCTACCTTGCATTCCTAAATGCATGCCAAACCCATACTGCATGAACAGTGAGACATCTCTGGAAGTCCACGTTCAGAACTGGTTGGGGAGCCAGTCTGCAGCTTATCTTCCTACTGGATGATTATCCAGGATGCCTAAGCATTTATTCTGCCTTAAAACCTGGATAAACAGAGCTTCTTCTGTAAAACTTTTTACCCCATCACAAAAGCCTACAATAGGTTAGGCTAGCAGGGATCAGTGGTGATCTGCTCCAACCCTCTGAAAGGAAGGTTAACCTCAAATTTGCATGCCATTGCTCTGGGCCTTGTCCAGTCAAACATTGACTATCTCCAAGAACAGAAATCAGAAATCTCACAAAAACTACCTGCCAAGCATTTGGCAGGAATGTGGTTTATGTGAGTGACCCAAGGCACTCTATTATCTCTCAGCAAATGCAGCCTCACTTTCTCTTGTTCGGTAGGGACTACTTGAGGATTTCCATTGTTCTGAACAGGACTAAAAGGGACTTAAGTTGTCTGGGTTCTGAGGTTAAAATGAACAATTTGCACTAAAGTGAATGAAAAGTGTTTTTCCAGAAGTTTTCCTGAACCAGTTCAGTCATAATTTCAATCTTACATGGCTTTCCTTTCAAAAGACAACTCTCAGGAGCTCTGCTCCTTGTTGCCACTTGCCAGTGGGCCAGCCAAAAGCTGTGGATGGGGCAGGCCACCTGGACTCACTGGGCTGTTTCTGAGGCCCTCCAGTGCTGAATGCCATGACTAAGACATTGCCATTAAAGGGAATGCTTGCATGGGAAACAAACTTCAAATGCACTACCAATTGTGGAGGAAGGTGAAGCTCTCCCTTCTATGCCTCATCACCTTGGAAAGACACAACAGTCCAGTAGGCACTGGACTCAGAAGTATCCAAGCTTCTGCAGTCAGCTGGTGACAGGAATGAATTTCCTTCTGTTCCCTTTCCATCATCTGTGCTCCCATTCAAGACAGTCTTTGGGGCAAGGCCTTTTGCATTATCACAAACACCAACAGGTATGTACATACCCCTCAGCATCATCCTCATGCTAATCTGCTTGAAAATGGATGAGGTCACTGTGCTTCCCACTCAGAATTAGCTCAGAGCAGTTTAGCTTCCCTCAGTCAACACTGTGATACCAGTGAAACAGATTAGGAAAAAACCACTTCCAGCAGTCTCCCTAAACTGATGAAAAGCCAAAGCAGAGCACAACAGCTGAGGCTGGTCTGTACCCAGGCACGTAGCAGGTGCTGCCTGTGGGACCCTGATCTCTATGGGGAACTGAATGAGAATGTAACAAACTGATTCAAATATGTTTTGAGGGCATTCAGCCATACGCTGGATAATCTCGATCCAAAGTGTATTTTCACTGCCTCTGAGCTGAAAATCTGAGTTCTTCCCTCCCTCTGCTCCAACTTCACGTGCCAAGAAGCTGTGGCTTCCCTGGCACAGGCACACACCAGGGGAACAGGGCTCTGTCAAGTGTGCTGGGAAAGAAACGAGCCCCAAAGTGAAACGCCAGCATATGCTGCATATTACTGAGTGTAATGTGGTACACTCAAGTATGTTACATTTCACACAGAGTTTGTGCCAGGAGAGCCATATTTCAAATCTCTCTTATTAGCAGCCACGAGAGTGAGAGTTGATTTCAGACTGCTGGGCAATGATTCACATGAGGAGATACTCAACAAGCCTTTCCTACACAAGCAATTACAGGAAAAAGCCACTGTCTTGGCCCAATTAATTTTGTCTCTGGAAACCAGCTCTGAATAAATTAATATAGCTAGAATTGGAAAAGAAGGTAGGGTGACAAAGTTATAGTGTAACATCTGCAAACTTCACCATGCTGGCTATGTCTTCCAGGAAATCTGTCCATGGATTTTTTCATGTTAGCCAAGGCAAGAAGGCTGTGTGCCTATTGAGGAATGATCTCTGGGAAGAAAAGAGAAGAATCCCTCTTGAGAAACTCCCTTCCAAATGAAAACAAGCTGAAATCCTACCAGAGTTCTCAACCACTGTTTCATAACTGCAGTCACTTTCCAACATGAAGTATCTTAGGACCACCTTAAGAAAGGGAACACGGCCTCTGGAGAAAAGTGTTTTCCTTCTCCCCAAAGGCTTTGAGAGTACTCCCAACATCAACCATCCTCCTGCTTTGTCTCCTGAATTTTCTACCCAGAGGCAGACTCTGCAATCATGACTGAAGACCACCTTTACCTAAGCAGTGCTTTTCATCGGAGGGGACCTCAGTGCAGGGTCACACAGGCTGGAAAACTGAGCATGTCTCCGAAGGTGAAATCAGGCAGCACTCAGCAGAAATGTATAAATTCACTGGCAGCAGGAGCAGAGTGCTGCCAAGACAGCAGCTGATGAAATCAATGTTCTCCCACGCTGGAATTTAATACTGACATCCTAGCATTTCTTATGAACTGCTCTCGAGTGCTCTCAGTGCCTGCCTTACTAAAATTTTGAAGCAGGCATTTCTAGCACTGCTGTCATCAAGCTGCAATGTTAGTTTACCACCAACACAGTGAACACCACTCTCTCAAGCAAACTGTTGGCATTAAGTTCCACAGCACCCACACACAAGCCAGCCACACCCAGACTGTACTGTAGAAAGTTGCCATTTAAGATTGCAGTGTACTGCCTAAAGAAAAGCGACAGCACCAGAAAAACATCTTGCAGCAAGCATAAAATTAATTTCAACTACCCTACGGTCTCTCCATAGGGCCTGGCACAGCACAGAAGGCAGGAGAATTGACAAAGCACACAACAGCAGCTAAAGATGGGGCACAGAGAAAGGCGTGTCCTCCCTGGCACCAGTGGGCAGAAACAGGAAGGCAAAGGTGGGGCACACTCCCAAGGTAGGAAAACCAGGCTGAAAATGCAGAATAGGAGAAAAACAAGCTCCTGGAAGCTTTGCACACAAGTTAGTATGAGGAAGGCTTCCACACTTTCTTATACTCACATTAGTATTTCTGCTCCTTCTGACAGGCACTGGAGCCAAACTAGCGCTCACTAAATGAAGTGGCACTACCTGGGGAACAGGAATGGAGCAATCTGCCAATCAGACAAGGTCATCAGATAAAATTCAGCCTGAACAAAAAAGACAGACATTATCTCAGGCCATTAAGCTCACTGCTGCCAGATGCAAGACTCCTTGCAAGTAAATGACCTACCATGTACACCTGCCTACTTCACGGAGCCCTGCATGGAGCACTACTTTTGTTGTCATCATCCCTACCGTGGCTCCATGGATTTGGAGCCTGTCCCTTTGAAGGCTCCCATATCTAGTCTCGAGCTGGCTTTCTCTGCTGTTCAGCACTATTAACCAAGACTAGACCCAATCTTACCCTTTGACACTTTGGTCTTCCCTCTGCAGCACAAAACCTGCTTCAAAAATAGGGAGTCCAGAGAAAGACATCCCCTTGTTCTAATGGACTAAAACATGCAGAAGTGCCATTCTTGACATGGATCTACTGTGACCATTCCATTGATCAAACCCTCACGGCCTGCCAGGACCTGATCCACAAGGACAGCTCCTGCTCCATGGGATCCGACCCTACCTGTCCAGCCAGTGTAGGCGGTGCAGTCATGCGGGTCGGCGGACTTGAGGCCCCTCTCCATCTGCTGCAGCAGCTCCCTGATTTTGTTATTCAGCCGCTGCGTGAATTCGGGGGTCAGCTGTGGAGACAAAACCCACCGAACGTGAAGGCAACGCCAGCAGGAGAGCGGGCACCGATACACGGCGCCTGTACCCAGACAGGTTACTCTACTCTACACAGCGTAAATCCCCAGCGCCGCCTCACCCCAGCCCCGCTCACCCGCCCGGCCGCGTCGAAGTAGCTGGTGGCCAAGGACTTGTCATAGTCCGCGTAGGGGTTCGGCAGGGCCCGCTGCGACATCATGGTCCCGCTCGGCTCCGCTCCACTCGGCTCGGCCGCGGCCCTGCCCGGCTCCGCCCCGGAAGGCGCCGGGGCCGCCGCTCGTCCCTTCCCGCGCCGGGGGCGGGCTCGGGGCTCGGCGTGCGGCAGCCGCCGCTGAGGGAGCAGACAGGGGCGCTCCGGCCCATCCTGTGGGGTCGGGGCCTGTGGTAGCCGGTTCTGTGTGCTTTAGAGAGCACTGTGATCCGGCCGATCCTGTGGGGTCAGGGTCTGCTGCAGCAGGTTCTGTGTGCTTTATAGAGCACTGTGGTCCGGCTGATCCTGTGGGGTCGGGGCCTGTGTAGCAGGTTCTGTGTGCTTTAAAGAGCACTGTGGTGTTGCGGTCTCTTGCAGCTGATCGTGTAGGGTTTGATGTAGCTGGTCATCAAGGGGCCGATGGCAGCTGGCCCTGTGGGGTTTGGCACAGGTTCTGTGTGCTTTAGACAGCACTGTGGTGTTAAGGTCTCTGGCAGCTGATCATGCAAGGTTTCATGTATGTGAAAAGCGAGGTTCAGTTTCTTCGTAGATTTTAAAAAGTTTAATAAAACACCGTAAGGGACAAGAAAACAAAAGGTTGCAATGGCCAGGGTGCTTGGCTTCCACCAAGAGCACACTTTAACTTAGAGTTATCATTAAATGCATTAACCTGTTGCATATTCATAGATCGCCATGCGTAATTCAAAATCACCCCCCCCACCTGTAAATCAACATTTTAATTTTTTTTTTCCTTGCGGCTCCTTCTTGTCGGTGCACTCCCTGGTAACGGAGATCAATAAATCCTTTTTTTGGAGTTCTGCTGTTTGTCACCCCTGTCTTCATCCAGATAGGATAATCCAAGAATTCTAAGAATGTGAAGAATTCTCTGAGTTAGTTACATTAACAAAAACTTTTTACATCACTACGTTATAGTCCAATAAAAAAAATATTTATCACACTACTATTTCCAAATTTTGTTAATACAGAGCTAGAAGAAACTATATTCATTCAGCAAAGTCTTCCAACATTATACATATAGCATTCATTTTAATATTTGAGAAAAGACAATAATATATACTTATAACAATACAGCTGATCATCAGGGGGCCGGTTGCAGCTGGCCCTGAGGGATTTAGGGGCCTGTTGCTGGTGGGTTTGTGTGCTTTAGGGAGCCCTTTGCAATCTAAGGTCTCTCACAGCTGGTCTTATGGGGCTTAGGGACACTGTTGGGCTGAGGGTACGTGTCTCTGTCAGGCTTGGGGAGCCCTGTAGGATTTTTTGGGCTCCTTGTGGTGTGTGGGGGTCCCTGTGGGGTTTGGTTCAGTTGGCTGCATGGAGCTTGGAGGCCGTGTAGGATTAGGGGCCCCTTGCACCAGCCTGGAGCGAATGGGCATCATGTGGCTTTGGTGTTCAGCTGGTGCAGGTGCTGACAGAGGGTCAGCCCAAGGAGAATGTGCTGAGTCCTGCTTCCCCCCAGCAGTATTCCCTCACTTGGGGTGGGACCCAGCCTGGGTGGGGACAGGGGCTCTTCCTTGCTGTGCCTTGCTGAGCTACATCTTCCTCTTGAAGAGGTTAGGTCCCTGTGATGCAGAGGCCTGCTTTTCCTCCCAAGTGCAATATAACTGTGCTGCTGGGGGTCTCCTTGCCCATGTACAATGTACTTTGTGCTGCCAGGTAACATTCACTGGGCTACCATGTCCTTATATGCTGTATTCCTCAATGCAAGCCTTGCTGCTTGCTGTAATACTGTGCCCAGCTGCCTTTCTTCTGACCCTATGGACCTGACATGAGTTGTGATGTCCCTGCTTGAGGTGTGAACGTGCAGCTTTGGGGCTCCCCAGCACTTCTAGCACTGCAGGCTTGCATCTGTGGCTGTTGGGGAAGTGCAAAGGGATGGGCTGAGCTTGAAGCTCTTGCTGGCTTGTCAAGGTCTAAGGGCAGTGGCACTGCCTCTTGTAGGAGCTGAATCCGTCTGAATGGGTTTAGGAGAAACTGCTGCTCTAAGAATTTACATATTGGTGACTGCAAACACCCTGAGAATACATTAGGCTGCTGCATTCATGCCTGTGACAGTTGTATTATATAAGGGATTCTGGTTTTCTATCCATATGTCCACTCTTTATTACAATCAATAAAATTTGACTTCAAGGAAAAAAGTAAATTATTTCATGATATGGTGAGAAACAAATATAAAAGAGGGAATCACAATTATGTTTGCTTTCAGTTCTTTTTTCACTCAGCTGTTGCTTGTTTAGTGAATTTCAATCGTGTAAACATTGCCTTGCATTCAAGGCAGGGAGGTGGACTGCAGTTTTAGTATTCAGGGAGGCAGCTCTAGCATCAGCAAAAAATGTGGAGTTTTCTGCTTAAGGCCAAATTCACAGCCCTATATTATGATTTTCCCTTCCATCTGCAGGTCAAAGCAGTATTCACTGCCCTCCTTCCCTCAGGCACAGTTCAGTATTAATTTCCAGCATAAAGCACAACATTTCAGCTTCAGAGCCTTTCTTTGATTCCTCACATTAGTTTTTTTTCCTCATCATTTAAAAATAAAGATGGTTCTCTCAAATTATCCTGCCTGTTCGCTTCACCACTCTGCCAAGGAGTTATGTTTCAGCATATTATTTTCTAATTGGTCATGGTCACTTCTGCTTTGATGCACCTCTTGCTGCCCAGGATGAACCCAGAAATCCAGGCTGCTGCTGTCACTCAGAGCCCAAGTAAGAGACTCATAATTCATCCTTGGTAACCTGCCCATGCAGAATAGGGAATGAATGAAGTGAGCTCGAGAGGAAAGCTGCTCCTGTGTTCTTGCAATCCCAGTCACTTTGGGCTATTTGGGCGTGGTGAGCCTGTTTGTTGGCTTTGTTTGAAAAGGGTCATGCTGCATTCTCTGGAAAAAAAAATTTAAAAGCTATTAAAGCAGATCGTTCAGAACACATCTAGAGAGGAATTTTGTGTGATGCAGCTATGAGAGCACAGAGGAAATGGTGAGAAAGCAATCTCTAGTAGCCTTCCTGGCAGTCCCATCACAGTTAGCCCCAGAAAAATCTTTCTCTGAAGTGACTTGCAATCAGTGGTTGAATGGATGTCCCCAAATCTTTCTACCTATGAGAAAACTAAAGGGTGTAATATTTTCTGCTCCACAACATTGTCTAAAAGACAAATCCTTACTAAATGTTAGCAGCATAAGAATCCTGGCTGTTGGTGGTCCCAACTGCACTGGTAGCATATCTGTGGATTACGTGAATGAAATGGATGTTTCACAGTCCTTTAAGAAAACCTCAGCAGACACTCTCGTCATTCCAGTGAGGATATGAAACCAAAATCTCTGACAGATGTTACAGCTGTTTGCAGACTACATGGCATCCTGCCTGCGGGCATAGTGGAACATCTCCTTCCTGAGAGGAGCAGTCTCCTGCTGGAGACCGTCCTTCACTGCCTGTAGGCATCCATCAATTCTGTAAACTCACCTGCAGCCAATCTCCATGCAGCAGGTGCCTGATGTGGGCAGCGTGGATGTGGACTTGTGAGTGGCCTTTCCAAAATCACAGCTTGCCATCTGCCCCTCCTTCACAGCCTGCTCTCAGGGTCAGACAGACCTCACACAGCAGGCTCCGTGCTGTGAAGCAGATGGGCTTGGCATGGTAACCCCGTAACAGGAAATGTGAGGGTTGCTTGTTCTCCTCTGCAGCTGCATGCTTGTATGGGAGGGAGTGCAGTGAGCAAGGGCAGAGTGTCCTTCATAGCCTTGTCAGCTAGAAAAAGGAATTTGAGAGGCTGTGTGGAAGTGCTCCACAGAGCACGGTCATCCTCAAGGTGTGTGAGGACGTCCTGGAAAAATGTACTGGCAAAGTATTTGGGTGGTGGGAGGGGTTTCATCTGCTGAAAAGTTGCCCAAGGGAGGTCTCAGCAGAACTGCTACATCACGGAACTACTGCAATACAAGATTTTTGTGGACATTTAAGAGATTTAATCCAAGTTGTGGTATTTATCTCCCCATCTCTGCTTTGGTTTTGTTTCTTTTTGGTGTTGGCTTCTTTGTGTTCCTGTTTCAGACAGCACAGAGTAAAAGTGAGAAGCTTCCCAGCTGTATTCATTAGCCTCTCTTACACATTATTTATTCAGCAGCAGCATAGCTAAAGATACTATATACTTAAGATAGATGTCCAGAGTGTCCTAAGACATATAAAAGATCAAAACCAAAGATGCCCTTTTCTTAATTTTAAATAACAATTTTGAATATCAGATAGTGTTTCTGCCATGGTGCTCTGTATAAACTAGAGATAACTCTTAAAACTTTGCCATTCTTTAATATTAGAGCCACAGCTCCCCATATTCAATCTCAGTAAAAATGCAAACCTACATCGAGAAATTGTCTTAATGCTGTTCTGAAGCTAAGTAACTTGGCTTTGGAAGGTGAGGCAAGTGTTATATCTCAGCATTATGAGTAAATTTTTTTTCCTTTTAGAGAGATATCCAGGAGAAGGGGAAAGCATCTTTATCGTATTTTTCCCATTTTATGTATGGCATTGTTTGCATTTCTTTTAGGAGCTTGTATGAAGACATCAAAGGCTAAGTATTGGTCACAGAATTAGACCTGTTCTAGTTGATTCTATTGATAGTATTTCTGGGGAGCAGAGCTCACCTATATCTTGCCTGCATTTATTGTGGCCAGGTTATTAAACCAAGCATTCAGTACACAGAATTCTGACTCCATGCACAAACGCAGTGGGGGCTTTGAGCTAGTGGTTCCCACTCAGATCTCAGAGCTATAGTAGGTACTTCTGTGAAAACACTGCTCACAAGGCAAAAGAAAAAAAATTAAAGTAGGAAGGGAAAAGAGCACAAAACTAGGAATGCTGTTTTATGTTTCTGTGGCTCATCTGATCTCATCTCAAACAAGATAGCAGAACTAGAAGCAGGAGGTTCAAGTCAATTGATTAATAAAGCTGAAAAAGAGATGATCATCAGCTGCGAGGAATGAGTTAGGTGCAAGGACTTAGGCTGCAAAAGAGGTATCTGAAAAGGGCTGCGGTAGATGTCTGCAAAGTGTTGAACAGTGTCATG